CAATAGAATCAACTATTATTTTATTTTACACAAATAAAGATCAAGTTGAGAATGAAGGATTTAATTTATGTGATGAAAAAAGAAAGATACATCATTTTCTAATGAACTCAAAATTTCGAATTTTTAAAGTTTAAAGTTAAATTTTATTTTTATGAAATTTATGTTTCCAATTGCTTACACTTTGAAACTTATGAATATTTATGAATCCTTGTAATTAGTTCTATTATTATTATTGGCCCCCAAATATCCTGGTACGGCTAAGGGTAGAGACAGTTAGCTCTCCCTCTCGAAATGCTCTCACATGACCACATGTATTCAGCCACTGCCAGAGAAGTCCTACTCACTGCCTTCTTGTGGCGGGGATGTTGCTTACGAAGTCACGAGGACAAAAAGCGAATGTCTGGCGCCTTAACCGGGTTAGTGGATATGGAGAATCCACGTAGGGGAGTTGGCATCCCCTGATTTCAAACCAATGGTGCACATAGACTCCAGTTTCCTGAGGGAAAAAATGGCGTATGAACCTATTGTTGGTTACCGGCTACCATGGGACTGCATCTCCTGACGTTACTCCACTACCTTGTGGATTAGACCTTTAGCTTGAAGGCTTGGGTTGTGGCCCCCTAAGGAAATCACCTGCTTTGGTCTGGGCACCCAGGCAGTATCACAGCCCACACACAAATCAAATGACTTGCGTAGTGTATATGTATTCGGTGCCCCTTTGTATCAATATTTATGTGTTTCAATAAATAAATAAATAATGATTATTATTATTAGTAAATAATAATAACAGAGCAATAATTTGTCTAAAAACTCAGTCATCTTACTGAAGTTGATCTATTTATAAGGATGCTTAAAAAATAAAATCAACACATAGATTATTAATGATAAATTTATAATGAAAAATCCTGATTATAGCAATATTTTGATGTGACTATGAGTTAAAAAGTTAGTATTCGTTTCCATGAAATATTTTATTCTGCTTAATATTAGATGTAAATACATATACATCTTTTGGTTGCTATATTCAATCCTCTCATATCAACATCAAGTGATTTCCAATGATTCAGTTTACGACCAATATTTTAAATGTGTTTGAGTAGAATTTGGTCAATGCTAAGGGTTAAACAACAACAAAAATAGCTAACACAATCAAGCAACTTAAATTTATAGTGTTTATGGCGATCTCATCATCGTATTAATTTTCATACATTTTCGAAATTGAATTCGGACACTGATATTGATTGAAGTTTCAATACATTTATGGTTTGTTGATTGGTCATATCAACCAAGCAATATATTAACAAGGGAGAGATTTCATACCTAAGTGTATTAGAATCATATTGAAATATCAATCCAGTTATAATAAAACGAAAAAATAGCACTCTATATTAACTGAGTATAACCTTTGTTAACTGAAATTAGGACTTTCTAATGACTGGCTTCATATTCTCACTATTATGTGGTATTTTTCACTTGTTTTCATTACATTCAATGATAGATATACTAAACTGTATGACAAAATTACTTTTGAATTCTATTTCTTTTTTCCTTCATTGTTGGTTTCAACTATGAATGTTTCTTTTTGGAATTTCGTTGATTTAAAACAGTTTCTCTTATTCGAAAGTGAGCATTTTATTTCGTATTCGTTTTTTGTCGCTATTGTTTGATGTAGCTGTGTGTTGTTATCTGATCATTAGTAAATTATTGTTCATTTGTTTCGAACCACTTATTTGCAAGATACATCATCTCATTAACTATTCATTTAACAAGGGTGATTAACTTCCAGAAACATTAAAGTTTCAAAAGAGGTTTTTATGGATATTATAGTAATTTTCGATGTTGAGATCATGAGGTCCTGAGTTCGAATCTTGTGAGGCGAGATCGTTGATTCGCAATGCTAAGGAGTCTCATAATAGAACGAAAAGGCAATCCAGTGATTCCAGGTTTTCCATGGTGGCCTAGCTTTAATTAACTCATGATCTCAACTACTAAAATAACATTAAAATTTGATGTTTATAAACTTATAATCGTTACTTTCTTTATACTAGTACAGTGTTCAACATAAAACTGATTTTTTTAACTGCTATATTTTATATATAATTCAATCATCTGGTTAAAGTTGTCAAATAGGTTCTTTATCCATTTAGCGTTTAATCAATGGAAGTAAACAACATATATATATCCGTGATAGACCTATACAAATTTGAACATCTGGAAATATAGGGAAAACTAGAGACTGAACTTCATAATAATTACTGAAAATTTTGATGTCTTAATAAATTCTATAAATTTTGAACAACCAAATAAAAACTTTTCCGAATACATTCATAAATGTCACGTACTTTTTCTTTGAATCAGATGAATAGTTCGTTTCCTACATCATTGAGTAAACGTAAAAAAATATGGTTTTATACAAGTGAATAGAACTCAGTTGTTGCGTATTAGAATATCAAAGTGTATCTGAGATGATAAATATGTCACTTAGTTACAAATACATGGCAATATATCTCACATTTCAGTCTTATATTACTAAAGTGGTATATTCATAGATATACCGATCATAGCATACAATTCTTGGAATTCAAGTTAAATATATCCGTTGAAACAACTGATTTATTAGGTGACTAGGTTTTTGCATTATCGGTTGGTTGATAATGTTATAAAATACACCTTGAAACGGGAAAAAATCTACTGAGTTATAGATATTTCATAATCATAAAATAAAGCACAACATATACAGAACTAGAAATCCTATTATTTCTGTGTTTCACTAAAATTGGTATTTGAACAAAGTGAACACCTAAGTTCTTATTGCAAAATGAATCTATTCATCATAATGTTCTTTTATATTGGTTCAAGTTGGCTAGACATTCAGTCAGCCAGTCAGCTACAACGTAGGACCAGGCATATATATGCATCGGTCCAAGTTGCTACATCTCAATAACACAACAAGATGAACACTGGATTCATAAAAGTAGTTAATTTAGTGGTAGTAGTATAATAAAGCAATATTGCATATAAGGATATAATACAGAAAGATATAAAGTAATTTTAATCTTATAGTTTAAGGGAAGACAGAGAGTGTATACACCTACGCCACTGTGATAGATTCTGAGCCATGTCACAAAGAGTCTCCAACCATCGGTTACGAAAGTCACGCCGACCCCAACCAAGTAGTCTGCATCTACCAACATGGCTCAGACTAGAGGTTAGTGTCTTCAAGCACTGATGCCACGTTTTGGTTTGTCCGCCACTAACATTCTTCCAACCATCCCCAACACCGGTTAGCTTTGCACGTCGTGGTAATCGGTGTTCGGGCATACGTAACATGTGGCCCAACCATCTCAATCAATGAAGATTTACAACCTCATCAACTGATTGACCATCATTCCCTAATATCCTACGTCTAACCCCACTATTAATTACCCGGTGATCCCAGCAGATGCGAGCAATATTTCTAAGAAATTTGTAATCTAATACTAAAAGCTTACGAGTATCTTATACTATCAATGGTCACGTTTCGCAGCCGTAAAGTAAAACAAAACGAACAGACGAGCAGTATACTCGTCCCTTAATTGATAGACGGATATCTCGCCTTCGCCATAGGTGACGTAAGTCGGCGAAAGCCAAGCGAGCTTTTCGAATCCGTGCTGAGATTTCGTCAGACACCAACCCATTGGGGCTGATCAAACTTCCAAGATAAGTGAAGTTGTTGACGCGTTCGACTACTTCACTCTGTATCCTTAATTCAGGTGTTGACGCAGGCCAGTCCTGAAACAACAACTTGCATTTAGAGGGAGAGAAGAGCATCACAGACATTCTGGCATTGTTGCTTAGTGCTACCAGAAGACTCTGTATTTTATCAGCGTCTTCATCAAACAGGACCTTCCGGTAAGAAATTAATGCCCGAAACTTCAGTCGACGAGAACGTTATTTCCATCAATAGGTCTGTGATGAAGTTAAGCAAAAATGTTAAGAATGTGTCTGAAAATATCACACACTTCGAATCGCTAACACCTCTACTTGTCCCATGATCTGTATGGGTGTTATTGAAAATAAAGGGGATAAAAGATGCCTGTAACATGAAAGCTGATCTAACCTAGCAACACAGACTGACTAATAATACAAAATAATACCTAGAAGTTGATAACACAAGTAAGGAGACGAAACGTCTAAAATATCCTTTGTACCTCAAGAGAAATTAGACTTAAACTTGCCAAACATGATGGCCTGTGAAGCTCAACATTGTTAAGTATAAGGAAAGTACTAAACGAAGAAAATGGAGTATGGTTAGATTTGTGCACCACCCGACCTCGGATCAGTAGTCTAGAAGTGAGGTACCACAATGCTGAAGACGCTGCGTTAGATCCCAGGTAGAGGTCCTTGGGTGTGCACTTCTGAAGAGTATCATACTGGGAAGAAAAGGCTGTTCAATGCTTCCAGGTTTCCAATGTTTGTCTGTCTTAGATCAATTAGTGATCTGAGTAACTTTCTAATCTCTTGACCGAATGTCAACTTTATAGATTTGATAGTAATGTATTAGTCTCGAGATTCGACAGTTTCTGGATTACTTATTATCAAGATTATTAGATATTCATTACTGTAAATTCATACACTACAACTGAATTACTATTCAATTATCCATGATTTACAATGATTGTTATAAGCAATATCAGTATGTTATGTATACTATACTGTTCTCTTTTTTTTCTACATGTTATTTACTACATATTTATTTAACTAAACTATGTAATGTTGTCCTGTGTCAACAGTATCTGTTGTATTGTTTTAGCATCTAGTTTCAAAACTTGTTGTTAGAATATCACGCCATATTTGGAAGAAGTATTTATTTTTTCAAGGAAAAACAACACACACACACATTGTACACATTATTCTGTGTACACAATAATCTATTAACAAAAATACTATTAAAGCTAATTCATTTTGTCAGAATACCATCAAACTTTATTCATTCAACTTGAAAATTGAAATTCATTAAGATGAAATTATTTTTGATTAGTATAATTGGCATTTTCAGTTTGCTCATTTCACAAGGTGAGTATGAATATTTAAAGAAAGAATAATTTTAGAAGGAGGTTTATTTTCTCGGATATTATAGTGCATTTCAATAGTTGAGATCATGAGTCAATTGAAGCTAGACCACCATGAACAACCTGGAAACACTGGATAGCTCTTTTGTTTCTAGTATAAAATGCGCATTGCTAAGGAGTCCCATAATAAGATTAAACGACCGTCCAGTGCTTCCAGGTTTTTCATGGTGGTCTAGCTTCAATTGATTCATGATCTCAACTATTAAAAGTATAATTTACTGTATTGTATACTTCTGAAGATATTTTAGTACATTAAATATTTTTCTATTAAATGATATGTAAACTTTCATAAAATGATGAATTTTATAGGATTATTTTGTGGCTTAAATGAGTTTATAACTAAAATGTATATTATTTTATAAGATTGTCATAGCAACTATACATGCTAACAACTAAGAAAAACAAGTCTGATATCAATAACTATGATTGTTTCATGTTTTCTGATCCAATAAATGTAACCCAAATATTCTAGATTATAATATCTATTCTATTTTTTATTGATTTCTTTATTAAAGTAACTTTTCAAAGTCAACACACCATTGAAAGAGTATAATAATATAATCTGTTTATGAATAGATGACAATACTTTTGAAGATCCAACACCACTCTTTTTTACAACAACATTGTTAAATTAATCTATATTTTGATTCGAATTACTGTTGTTAATAGAATGAACTTTAATATTCAGTTGAAATAACTAATAACTAGTTACTTTTCGTTAGTGCAGATAAACCTATGAAGTCATTAAATATTATGAATGTATGAATGACTATAAGTGCTTTCTTTTAAATAGGTTGTTTTGTCAGTGGATGAGCTATTAACTAATTAACTAATTAATAATTAATTATTATTAATGGCTTTATTCAATATTATATTTTGGTACAATATAGAATTCTCAGCACAGGGTATTACAACAAGTTACTTACGCAAAAAAACAGAGACAAAGACAAAAAAGGAAAAAAAAGGTGGAAAAAAATCCAAAAAACTGTACAACTTTTCAAATTAAAGACATGTTTAGAATGCAGGTTATTGACTAGGTTAACTCTAACAACTTGTTCGTCACAGAGTATATTTGCTAGGTAAGGTATTATAGAACTTTGATACTTTTGCTTGAGTGCATGGATTTTAATGTAATTACGTCTCGTTCTACCAGAAGATATACAAGGAGAAAGATAAGAGTGAAGGGGATGGTTAGTATCTGATAAAATAACACCTGCCAGGAGTTTGCATGACTTTAGATGTCTATCCACAACCATATTAATTATGACGTCGAAAGATTCACCACACACCTTGCTAACTGCCTTCAGCACTCTCCGCAATACAGTAAAGTCTTTTCTCAAAAGCCCGGGAAAGAATAATGGAAAACAGTAAAGAATAATAGGTAATATGCAAGAATTGACAAATTGTAAGAGTAATCCCAAGAGCATGCAATCTCTTTATGTAGTAGGTCAGACGGAAAACCTTCTTCGATAACAATAAAACGTGAGAAGATCAAGAGAGATCAGAGGAAAAGGTAACACCAAGATAATTGACCTTCGACACTGCGTTTATCAAATGTCTAACTGTTCTTTACATTTAAGTTTCCAAATAAACACTTTAATGTAAACAACTCAGATCATTTTAAGTTTAATCTTTTTTACAGATGATAATCATAAATAGAATTTCTAAGGATATTTTGATAAGTGATTCATAACCATTTAGTCTAATACATTAAGAGTAAGAAAGTTTAAAAAGCTGAATTTGGACATTTTCAATTTCATTTAGAATATGGTTATACAGTTGATATGTGAGTTTATTCTCCTTTTTTTTCTTTCTTTTTATTGTGACTTCTATGTCTTCTATTTTGATAGTATTCATTTCATTATTCTTGTTTAGATACAAACTGATTTTCATATGGTTCCTGAAATCATTCAGTTGATTATCAAAATCAAATTGATCTAAGATTTAGTTTAAAATCTCATACCGAGTGATCCATTCTTATTCTATAAAATATCATAAATATATTCTCATTGAGATTATACATTTAGAGTTTATGAATTCTTAATTGAATTCAATCTAGGAATTATTGACATTTAAACATTGATATACAATAGATGAATTAGATAAAGTAATCTTCTAATAAACATTCATGAACTTAACTGTTATTCATTTATAAATTGAGAATTTACTTTTCATAAAATTTAGTAATATTTACAATAACTAGAAGTTACTTATATCTTATAATATTTCTTGCTTAATACATCAGTAATAATAAACATATAAATCAATATATAAAAGGATTTCTGATTAGAACAACACATATAAGCGAACAATTGTTTTTAATTAGATCGTCATCAGGCTTTACTCTAATATACATGAATATTGATATGAAAATGTTAAACCAATCAAGGCAATTTGGGGTCAATAATCCATGGCCAGTTATAACTTAACTAACGATTTTTTAAAAACATTTTTACTATGACCAGTGGAGTTCAACCGGGTCAGTTGGGAGGTAGTGACTCACTGATGACAATAGTGGATGTGTCGCTCAATTTCGTGGATTAGTTGAAGTTAGACATTAACACTGTTAGATGCCGGCTCAGTGGTCTAGTTGGCGCGAGACCGATAGGTCTTGGGTTCGAATCCCGAGAGGCGGGGTCGTTTGCACGCTGCTGCTGAGTCCCACAGCAGGACAAAATGGCCATCCAATGCTTCCAGGTTTTCCATGGTGGTCTAGGTTCAATTAATTCATGATCTCAAATGTTGAAATTTCTAAAATCTCCACAAAACCCATTCTGATTTATTTATTTTATTCTATTTTTGTTATCATTAGCCTTATTTTCATATCTAGCATTTGTTTGTAATTTTCCGCCTCTTTCCGTTTGTATTCTTCACTATCTAAATATTTACATACTTCTTATTACGTAATGATTTTAATGTTTTGTGATGACTATTCTAAGCCTATTTACCCAAGTTTTACCTTCTATTTCTAACGTTTAACTATTGATAAGACTTTCGTTATCGTATTTTATTATCCTTACTACTATCAGTACAACTGTCTTCCTACTATCAACTGAATGTTTACTTATTATGTGTGGTGACCCATTCTATTTCATTGTGATTATTGACCCAAATTGCCTTGATTGGTTTGACATTTTCGTGTAAATATTCATGTAAATTAGAGTAAAGCCTGATGACGATCTAATTGAAAACAATTGTTCGCTTATATATGTTGTTCTGATTTCTGATTAATCACACTTTAAAGAGATTACATTATAGATTAGAACAGTAATTTAGGAACACATGGAGATAGTCTCCATGTTATTGATGATTATTGTAGTTCCTGATGAGGTAAACTGGAGCATCCACTACAACAAGAGCTCATATATATATACATATATTCATGAAAATTTATTTCTGAACGTGTAATCTGTCAATTTGTCGGCGTGAATTACATTTTTCAAGAAAAAAATAGTTACCTTATTAAAATTCATCATTTCACTTAATATTTAAAGATTGACTGATATTTTCTAAGGAATAATTAGAAATTATTTTAACTTATGAATGTTTACAAAGCAATCTGAATGATGCAAAACAAAAACAGTAAGTGTTGTTATGTTACTTCTTGTTTTTAATTCATTTTTAAGTTATGACTGATCAATGAATGTTATCAATGTTATCCTTCTATCTTAAAAACCTTAAATTCATATATTGTTTAGTAAAATGGTTTAAACAATTTAACCATGAATAGTGAGTTGAGTTGATGTAGATGTTGAATTGAACTTAAGATAAAAACAATAGAATATAATCTTGCAGATTTGATAATAATTTATTATTGAAATGAGTAATACTACTGAATATGTTAAATAGTCAACAGAAATTAACAGAGAAGTGAAATCTAAATCAGTTGGTGCTAAGAAAAAAAAAGAACCTTTTTGATGGAGTTTTGTTCTCTGAGCTGGATGGTTTGGTCGTGAAGCTTTCATCATTCTTCTGAACGACATTATCAGCACAAACTTCAGATAGAATTGGACTGTTAGAATTTCTCCATATGCGTTTTACAGCTTGTGAAATTCGAACACTTTACTTTTATCTGAAGTTTGTGCTGATGATGTCGTTCAGAAGAATGATGAAAGCTTCACGACCAAACCATCCAGCTCAGAGAACAAAACTCCATCAAAATCATCCATCTGAGCTACAAATCTTCTTCACCATTTCAAAAAAGAACCAGTTGAATTCAGTGTTACATGGATTTTTTTCCCCAGTTTATTCTAATGAATACTTCATAAATATAAACATGAGTTTTGTAGAAAGTTGAATCACATAAAACAATGTTAGTATATATAAACATTTCAAAGATACTATACTTATTTTCATGGTTTCAGCGGCAGGACAAATATTTTAGTTACATCACAGTATATTTGCTTGCCATTAGTCTCAAACCAAAAGTTTGATTTCTTCTAAAGTGATATATTCTTAACATCATAACAACAAAGATTTCTTTCATCCAGAAGTAGGTAATTTATTGTTTTGACATAATAATTAGTATAAAATTAGTTATTATTAAATGTTAGATTTTAAGTCATTAGTTAATCACTAACTTATTCAACATAAACAAATCTGTGCATAACAACTAATTTAGTGATCCGTTAAATTAAGCTTAATCTTTATATTAAAAAATGGATATATTCAATGCCTTCGATTATTTTGTCTTTAATGTTTACGTATCATCTAAATAGTGCTGTTATTTTTGTTAGTTTTATACTAATTTGTGGTCAAAAAGACCTGAATATAATACTTTATTATTATTTATTTAATTGATAGACATTTAATAACCAAACTTAATTCATTGAAGTAAGTATTAACATTTGAATTACATTTATTTATCAATCATTCCATTAAAAATATCCCTAAGTAACAGCAAATTAAGAATTAATAACGATGTTATTTAATGTGGTATTTATTATTAAGAACGAATAACTCAATCCTGATATGATAATGAGTGATTACTTTAGAAACCTTAAGAAATAATGAGTACAAGGCACAGTTTATAAGCTTACACAACTCTGGTTTGTATAATTTTTTTCTCTGGTTAGCGTTTTTTAGCGAGTTCGTTTTCTATGAGATAAGGTCGCTAACCCCATGCCCAACCCTCCCCCTTTATCGGGGCTTGGGACCGGCAGTAGCTCCAGAGGGGTTCCAAGCGGAGTTTTACACAACTGTAATACATTTAAATGTAACATGTATAAGTTTACTAGCAAAATTGAGTTGAATTGTTTGAAGTTTTTGTACAATACAAGTGAATATAATAAATGCTGAATTATCAATTCAAATTACTTCTTGATACTTATGATTATTATTGAAATTAACCATTACTTTCAGGTACCATAAATTTTATTCACTCGAAATTTTTGTCGGTTATACTGTTCTATATATATATCGAAAATGAATTGATGTTGGCAATTTGGTTTATTAGTTATTGACTTAGTTGCTTAGCAGTACATGACTAACTGTTAGGTTAGAATATCATGCTTTTTACAGTGTTCAATAACGAGCGTGCAGTGAAGCAGTAAAATTTGTTAATAATCAAATGAATAAATAACCAGTCAAAATATAACTGAACATTAACTATCTTAATTCAGTGTGAATATGTTTGCCTGTTGTTATTTGACCATTAATTGATGTAAAATACAAACTATCTATAAGTATATAATCTGCCTTATGAAAACTTAATAACGTATCTGTACATTCAGTAATGATAGTAGATGAGTTTCCTGCATGTATTTTATTCACCATGCTAGATAACTTCCTAATAAATAGAGATAAGGTCCGTGAGTTTTCTTTTAGCTATCGAAAAACAAAATAACCAAACACAGTGAATGAAATTTGACTAAAAGGTGTAGACGGAGAGTCTAATTTCTCAGAACTGCAAAGGATTTTATAATCAATTCAAACCTACATGAGACACGTATATTGCCACAAGTGAGGTATAATTTGAAAGTGAAAAGTTTAATACATCCTAAAAGATTTTAAAGCTTATTTAATGGTTTTATTGTGAACAGTATGCATTTCCAGTGTCGAACAATAGCTATCCTGTTACATTCAAATATTTGGTGTTGCGTTTCTAAATATCATGATATAAGTTTTGACACGTTATTAATAACATCTGTTTATTTGTTTCACCATATTCAATGTTGAAATGAATAGTGGAGTTCAACCGGAGCTGTTATGAGATAGTAATTCACTGATGACAATGGTGGATGATGGGACCATTGCATGCCAGTTCAGTAGTCTATAGGTTAAGCGCTCGCGTGCGAGACTGATAGGCTTTGAGTTCGAATCTCGCAAAGCGAGGTTGTGGGTGTGTACTGCTGAGGAGTCCCATATTAGGATGATACGGCTGTCCAATGCTTCCAGGTTTTTCATGGTAATATAGCTTCAATTAACTCACGAATTCAATTATTAAAAATATTTTCACTTATTACCAATGTTGTACTATAATTCATTTAAAATATATTTTTCTTAAATGTCACAAATACTATCAATATTTCTTGGTAACTTACAATGTTAGCATTTCAAGTGTATACTGATTCCATAGAATCCCTATCACAACTTGAATAATCATAAATATCTTGTCTAAATTATGCTTTCTTTAATTATTCAGTCAATATTTACAGTCAAGGGGGATGTAAGTGTTTCCATTCTTTTAAATTCTCAAATTTTTTTTGGAATATAAACATTTCTTTGTTGTTAATTTACTGAAACAACTTTTAATAATCTTATGAAGCTTAATAGTTTTAATGCATATTATGCTTTTGTCTAACAGGTTGTAATAACTGTTAGCAAGTTCCAGGAATTTGGAAAAAACATGTCTCAATCAAATTGTTCTTATTGATGTTGTATAAGTTTTATAGCCAGTAGCATAAAGTTTACAACACTTTAAGTAACTGAATTATGTTTAATAATGAGCCAGTATGCAAATATGCTTTATTCATACAATTTCCTGTTAACACTCATATATCTTAATCTTCTCTATGCATATAAGTTTAATCTGACAATTTATTTTCAACTTTATTTCTACAACTTATCAAATCAATTACTGTTTTTGCTATATCTGTGATGCTGCAGATTAGAAAACAGCGAATTATTGATCGGACCAAAGATGCGCAAACACGCAGAACGGCCTAGGGTTCTGATTGGTCCCGCTTCCCTGTCTAGCACAGCCAGTTAAGTCCAAAACGCAAGTCTCAGCCTCGGATATATGAATCATTATATTTCAAACACACTCTGTTTATATACTAATCAAGCAGACCACATCGTACCATAAAATAGAAAATAACATTGTACAATATTGACCAGTAGGAAAGTGACACGTGAAATAAGTGCTGACCAATAAGAAAATAATACCATCTCCAAGTCCAAGAATAGCATTAAACTTAATAGAATAATTTTTGGGATATTTTCCTGAATATCCCAACAGTTTTATACAAAATACTGAGAAAAACAATATAGATCATTGATTATTTCATAAAGTATTGTCCCCTCACTAAAAGTTTTCAATGAGCTTCTCTATATCAATAAATTATAACTGTACGTCTAAATACATATGATAAGGATATCACAATGTATTAGTTGGTTTAGAAGTGATGAATATACCTTTGTTATCCTAATAGTATTTATTTAGTTTTCTAGATCATATAATTTTGAAGTAATATTTATTAAGTAAATGAAAGTGAAGTAGATCAAGTTATATTATACTCTCTTGTTTGTATATAAACAATGAAGTAATGATTTTGATTCAACAAAACTTCTTATAAATGAAAATAACAAATATGTACCTCTGAATTTGATTTTACTGTAACAAACAAATTTGAAAGAAAAAATACAAATTCCTAGCTAAAAATGCAGAATAGGAAAATAGGAAAATTCTAGTTTTCAAAATGTAACCATTGAGATGAATAATGAAAAATAGAATCTTTGAAGGTTCTAACTGTTTCAGTAATTATTCAGGCATTGATGAATTTTGCGATATCAACAAAAGTCAAAATACAGTAGGAAAATTTCAGTATGCAGCATAGTAATAAATCTAAGCAATAAAACATCAAGTAAATTTAGTTCGCTTATCAATCACACTTTGATTTTAAAAAAAAACCCAGTTTTTACTAAGATAACTTCTAAATTTCTATCCCTTTCACAATACATAAAATTTCAAGTAGTATCCATTAAGTATGGATCATATTTCTCAAGCTATCTGATTTATTGAAAGTAAGAATCTATTTCACTCTTTTGTTTCTTAACACACTAATACATTTAGTAACAAACAATTCACCGAAGACGAGTGAGTTTACTCAGATAACTATTCAAACTAAAAGATAAGTAAGTGCTGGAATTTCTGGGGATTAATTCAGTAGTGTTCCCATTTGTCAATACCGTAAATACAGTGTCCAAAACTGGTGTCATTGAAAATGTTCCGAGTGAGATCATTCAATTAGTATTACCAATAACATTGACCTTAATATTATTAATTGTCCACAAATTTAATCAATGGAGATAACCATATGTGAAATAGTAACTGAAATATTAACATACTATTTCAGTAATAGTAGTGAATATCAGTTAGTCTAGGAATCACGAATCGTCAGGTATTCTGGTGTTTACTACGATTTCAGTAGAACAATCACATAAAAATTGGATTCAGTCTACAAATGATGCTGAAGTAATTGAAGGAGACTGACGATTTATATCTGATGCAGTTGTTTGTTTTGGTAACTAACGAAATTAAATTTTGTAATATTTTCAATAAAGATGAACAACAATCTAATAAATAGTGACCAAATTATAAATTCATCAAGAGAAGATAGAACGACAAGTAGCATCGAAGCAGAAAATGAAATGGAATAGAATAGTAAATTTCAAAAAAGATACTAGAATGACAGTAGTAGTCGTATCGATAATGTTCTCATGGAATTGATAATACAATCCCAACAAAATATGTAGCAACACTAGAATCGCTAATCAAATGATTTGATGCATTTCTTTAGTAATTAAAACCTTCAGTCATCGATTTTATTAGAAAGATAGTGTAACTATAAACAGTCTGTCTAGGATGAAAACGTACAGTTGACAAAATGACTTGTAAAACGACACTTTCATTCGTCGATTTAGTTTGAATGTTAGTCATAATAACTTAATAGTATTCATCACAATGTACATAACAGAATAATCACCATATAAATCATACTACAAATCGGAAACTTATGATATAACTTAATACGGAGTTGTAAACCGCTGTTTTGAAACCAAGAACACAACATATAGAAGTTATTTCTTCCTCCCTGTATACTTTTATACAAATAACAAAGTAAATAACTGATATATATTTTAATCTTTATTAGTTTAATCGGTTTTATCTTGTTCTTATTAAATAAGATTCTACAAAATCATATACGATAGGTAAGTACATGACATATAGATGTGATTTACTCTATAGACGAGCCACTAGAATCTGATTTATATACCAAAATAATTATTTGTAACCTACTTAAGAACTTGGAAATTACATTATTATAAATTTTAAGAACTGGATTAGTTAGGCTTAAACATGAACAAGCCAAGAATACTTAAATCTTTTGATAACCTTTGTACTGTTAAATGATTAGGTTAGAATGGATTGATCAACATCTTCCAAATATATAATGTAATTTAACACACTCAGTAATATGAACTTATGTATATGATTCAGATTAAACAAGCATATTGAAGACGAGTGAGTTCATTCAATGTTTTATAACATATTTCTACGTAAAACATTCTCTACAAATTATTATAAACTATTAATGATGCTTATTAGAATGAATGATTTTAAATGATCATATGATCAGAAATTCTCTTGGATAAATTGCATATTGAAATATCTTTAAAGATATTTTATTCAACTTACAGAATTACGTTGTTATTTAGGACTTCAATTGATCAGTCTCTTGTTGGCATATGTGCATCCTGTGCGGACTACCTCGATATTGCCTGAAGTCACAAGCTTTATAAGCAAAGATGGATAGTGGCTGGCAATGGAATGCAGGACGCACGTTTCGTCCTATTTGGGACTCATCACCTATACTTGCATCTCAAAGTTGATGTTCACTCTGGGACTCAAACCCAGTACTGTTCGCTTCAAATACCATCACGTTATCCACTTAGCTATTGAGTCCTGATAACCACTTGCTTGTGCAATGGATTTTAGATGCAATTACACTTTAGTTAAATTAAAAGCGTAAATGTACTTATATGAATAATTTCTGAAAAATTCCAAAATGTAGTCTGTAATCAACGTTGATATTTATTGTAATATAGTACAATCAACAAAATACATAACAAATAATGGAATGAAAATTAGCTAAGTATTTAAATAGAAGGAAACAGAAACGGCAAACTAAGTCAATATTTCTATGTGAAAACATTAAAGAATTTAACAAAAGTAATATGACATTTCATTATTGTATTGGTTGTTTCAATCCTCTTATTGATGTTTATGACTGCAATTAATCAGTCTCCTATTGGCATATATTCATCCTGTGAGGGATGTCTTGATATTGTCTTAAATCACAAGTAATATAATCATAGATGATAGTGGTTAGATGTGGAATGCAGGTCGCACGTTTCATCCTATTTTGGAAGCGATGACTTTTAAGGCGAACGGTATTGGTTTCGAGTCCCGGAGTAAAAATTAACTCTGGAATGTCAGTATATCCAGCTAACAAGTTCAAAGTAGGAAGAAACGCGTGTCTTGGATTCCACTGTAAGCCACCATCATTTCTACTCATAATAAGATATTTGTTAAAAATTCCAGAAAAAGCGATGTCCGCATAATTGAAAAGTGAGCATTTGTTTATTAAAATGTTTAAAATAAATTATCAAAATTTTTACTGACTGAAGTTTTTAGAATTTACTTAAAATTCCATAAAAGCCACATGTGAACAGATATATTTAGCCAACTCAGTACAACCAAACATCATGAAACTACTGAATACTGACGGATGTATCGTTTGACAAATCGAAAGAGGAATAGAATCCAATCATTAATTTGAGCATAAAGGTAAAAACAAAATAAATGACAAAATATAAAAACAATTCAGTCAGTCATATGCAAATAGATCCCATCATATTTGTGTTTCGAACAAAGTTACCTCATCATTTCGTCACAGACAATTAGTATATGTTAACCAATTCAAAAAATGGCAGCAGAAATAAAGTTATACGTAGTAGAAGTAGTAGTAGTAGTAGTAGTAGTGTAGTGAAGGAGAATACAGGTGAGGACAACCGAATTATATTTAGCACAAAACTACAGAGTTACTTGGTAAAATAGAAAACCATACTATAATACTTAATTTGCAAAATGTTCAATAATTGTCTCGAACTTTAATGTTCTTGCATTTCCATACTAATTCCTTTCCAGTTCCGCTCTTCCTTTCTTGATCTTCCCCATTTTCTGCCGCCAGACATAACATCCCTGACTCGCATCATATACTACTTATATCAATATACGTAGCACGCACCACAGTAGTAGTAGTAGCAGTAGTAGTAATAGAAAATAATAGAAATGGACAGTATGATTTTGCAACAAAGAAAAAATTTGAAAAGAAGTATAAGATGTTATTGTAACACATGTTTTATTAGAGGACGGAAGTCAAATGCCTCTTAACTGGTAAAACTGATTGTGAGATATATCACGTGATCTCTTCTAAAATTTGCTTATGATAATCGCGTGAAACCCAACCATGAAGTATAAATTTACCGATATTCTATAATTCAACAGCCAGTAAATTCAGAGAAAAATGTCATATCTTGATAACGCAGTCACTAACTTTTTTCTGCCGACTCCAAATCACACAATTTAGATTTTCCAAGTTAGAAAAAACTGAGCGTGCGGAAAAAATCCCAACAAAGTCAGTTGATGAAAAAGCCATTAATTAATCAATCTAATTTTAAATATATTGAACACGTTGAATAAAATCGGGTACACTGACAGTTTACAAATCAGATTCATCAATCTTTGTCAAAAAGATGAAAATCTGTTTCCTCACTTGTATTGTTCTAACTTCCAAATAATTTTAGGATCTCATATAACATCCCCAAATAGTGTCTTTTAACTGATCTGTATTATCAACATACAGCCCTAGTTGTTTACTAATAAAGCATAGCAACATCAAACAAAACCTCACATAGTGCAGAGCAGACAACAGTTATTTACCTTCCTCAGACACATAATGTAATCATCATCAAGGGCGCACATTAAAGTTTGTTGATGAATGAGATTGTAGGGTGTCCAATAAACCAGATAATCTCACATCACAACATTTTCGAGAAAATAAAATTCTCAACATTTGCAACGACGAGTCAACGGAAATCAAGTGGTAGGAATGAAATCTCTGATTTATTATTCTCATAGCTGGTTATCATCAATCTACATCGATTGTGTCACGCGTCACTGAAAGAGTCGACAAAACACAATGTGATGTAATTGAATAGCAAATAAAACCAAAAAAATAAGGTCGACCTGACCAACATCTCGAATAAAATATCAAGTCCAATATCACTCATAATACAAATAAATACTACCAAACCGAATAAGGTTTTACACTGATAGAAGACACTGAAATAATATAACGATAATACAACAGCACAAATCAACTCAATACGGAAACCAAAACCAAAAAAAAGTATGAACATTCAAATGAACGTAGAATAAATGAAAGAAAGTCTCAATTTAGAAAGCGTTTGACAATAAACCAAATGTCCATATTAAAGAAAGAATAAGCAAGAGGCTACAAAATTAGATAACATGCGTTAAATCCCAACAAAGGCAAATAAACAAATAAAAAATTCACAGGAATTAATGAGAAATACTAAAAAAAATTATATAAATGCATTCATTATTAAATCTAAAACACAGATTCTTAAGGAAGTTATTCAGAAAAGCCATTATAATCTACTGAAAGTCAGACAAACTATGTATTATTTGATGGAGAGAGATTCGTGATAAAACCCATGAATTGTGAACTGTTAAATGAATGGAACATCAATAACAATGCAGTATCAGGCAACATGGTCAGAATTGATGATTCCTTAGGTAGTATGAATGTTGGTAGTAGATTCATTGTAATTTAAACACCAACAAATATATGACTCACATTACGATGAGGAAATTCGATCTCATTTCTATTATTTAGAGAAGTCTCCAAACGTCCAGTGCAAAAGTGAGTGAACTGACACTTGTCATTGATTCATTTTTTATCCTATATGTTTAACATTTATCGAGTCTGAACGGTACGCTCTCGCTGTCATAGAATGGCACTGAGATACACTAAATTCCAGTTGTAGCAACACACTGAACACTGAATGGAACCACCATCCTGAACCCTAAACCTCAATTATTTAGATGCTTGGAACACAGGAATTGATAATAACCATGGAAATAACCTGAAATCCACTGATAGTAGGAGTTGTATGATGTGAGTTGATTTAGACACTCGTCATCGGAACATATTTAAACCAAGGAGGACGGAGATATTTACAAAGTCAAACGAAACCAAACTGAAATATACTATTTCGGCATCGAATCAATACAAAACATTGTTCATTTACGTTCTCCTGTCGAAACATTCGTCACAACACAATTTAAATATTGAAGTTGACTTTTCACAATTATCACATTTTGATATATTTAAAGAGAGTTTGTTTTCTTGCCTATATAAATTCAGATTGGAATTGATGAATTTGTGGCACAATATAATTCCTTGAAGTGTGTTGTCCACTGTTCAGTTGAATGTCTTATTCATTTAAATTAATCAGTCAGTGTTTGACCTCCATGTGTGTATGTGTGTGTGTGTATGTGGAATGTGTTCTATGCATTGAAATGTGGAGGTGATTCTGAATGATTGTCGGGAATCGGTGACCACATCAATTCTATCTACCGAGTGTGATATATTAAAAGCGTGGTTCATATATGTGAATAGTTAATGGAGGATAAATGCACAAGTTGGAGACGACAGGAGATATCAGATGAGAAATCCTTATCACAACTTCAAAATGTAAGGTGTGTTCGAATTAGTCGTGAGATCCTTGTGGCTTCAATCACTCGACTGTTTTCAAGTGTTCAGTTGTCTTTTCATAGTAGGTAAAGGCAGTTTATTTTTTGTGTTTGTTTAAAGGCATGTAGATAATGAGACATCAGACAGGTGAGTTGATTTCATTCTATTATTGCTCGAATTACTTTATTCACGATCGAGTTGGATGTTATAATGACTGTGACTTGTATGTCTTTGTTCAAACTGCATATATATAGGAGCAGAATTATATTATGATTTTTGTGCATTACAGTGTGAAATGATTGACAAAAGTTCTAATTACAATCCATTCGACAACTTCAGATTGTTCAAATAAAGCGTACAGTCGAATCGTGACAATACGATAATCAGAAGTATTGGAATCGGTGTGCTATCTGAAAATTCCCACAATAGTCCAATTCAAGATAGGTAGAAGTCGATGAGCACAACCAAACGTATTATATTTGGAATTCGCAATGAGCACGCTATCAAATACAAAGGAATAATCAGTTAGTAAAAATGCCACAACCACCACAACTTAAATGAATGTTGGGCTTTTGCAATTCCTCGTACGACAGCTTCATTGAATGTATCTCAGATTCTCTTTTGAAGTTATGTTTAATATTGTCTGGATAATGCTCATTAGTGTTAGAATGAACAATGGAAATTGGAATGAACTCTTTTGGTCCTTTTAAAGTATTTGTCTGATGTGACTGTCATGCGTACGAACCATAGAATTATTAATTTTCTTGGATTGTCAAACCTCAGTTTCTTGAATGTATGTGACGTCAGCAGACTGTCCACATTCTATGTTTGGACGAACACATTATGTTTTAGGCAATTTTTTATTATTTCCATGAGTACGGTCTTCATTTCTATACCAATAAATTTATTCTACTCTTCTCTCCGGGCCTTTGAATTTCACAGCAGTAATAGAACTGATTGTTGTTTTCAAGGTGTTGAAACTTCCAACCGGAAAATCAGAATAAGAGAGTGATGGGGTTGTGCACAACTATTCACACTTAGATTGTCCAGCAAACAATTTATCTGGCACTTCATTGGAATTGTCTACATAGGTCAATAACGGAAGTTGTGCTTGATGACATTTTATGTGATCTAATCCGAGGATAGACGGTCCACCATTAGTGATGAGAAACTGACAAGTTATGGTTGAAGACTTATCACCTCTGATCAGCAAATCAAAACATTCAAGAATCCGAATTTTATCACCAATAATACTCGAAATATAAACATCGACAGTTTTAATAAGAGCACTGAAATCTGATGATTTCAATTTTCCGACTGCAATGATAGATTTGATATTACCAGTGTCAACAATGAAATCATGAAAAGCACCATTGCACAAGTAAAGTGGTTTTCGGATGTGAAGTGAACTACTCGGAGTCGTAAACAAGGATAGTATGTGATGATTAGAGTCACCCAAACTGATAGGATCCGAACTACAAAGTTTATTATCACTAGAGGTTAAATGAACAGTTGTTCAACCCACTGATTTGATATACCATAGTTCGCCGTAATTGAAGCATTTAGCATGATGAAATAAACATGAATTATGTGAATGACGTTTACCACATTATAAACATTTACCAAAATTGTGCTCACCTTTATATACTGATTTGCAATTCTTCAATGGATTGTTTCGCATGTTTTCACGAGGACGGAGATTATCATTAGTTAAACGTCTCTCCGTATGAAGGTTTGAAGAAAGACACATCACCAAACGATTGTCTTTTATTCAAACTGTTATGCAATTGACTTTTGTCATCTTTAAACGGAAGTTTAAACAACATTCTCTCCTTGAAGATAATCACTCGGTTTGACGCTTACTTTCTTTGGTTTATTGTGTTTTCCAATAAACTTTATGAAATAGTCATTGTCAAGTATGCATCTCTCCATCTACTTCAATGCTATGTGAACACGCTACAGTTATAAAGAGAGTGAATACAGATTGTCTGAAGGAGACTGTTGTCATTCAACTGCATGTGAGCGTTTTGCAAGAGAGAATGGTACAAACAATTTGTGAAATTCACTTGTCTACTATAATCTCACCTGACTGTCTAAAAGTGGTTTATCTTAATTCTCCTATATAGTGTGCATGATAAACAACCTATTCAGAAGTGAGTCAATCGTCTGTAGTCATTTATCATATTGAGTTTTTCGTTGTTTCACAAATTCATTCTTCTAGTTTGTTTCCCATAATTTATCGGTTCGTGTTCAATTTCTATATTTGTCTATATGTCTTATCCACTATTTTATCAATTTGGATCAATTGAATTCTGAGATTACCACCTATTCATAATGATCTCGCTTACTCATATTAAACTTATTCATCTCATCTGCACTGTCCAGTGATAATGGCAACCATCTTGTACAAAAGCGAGTAAATTTCTCCTTGGCTATTTCTAAATTCATCACGAAACATTCTATAAATGCTTTCATTAGTAAATCTAAAACACAGATTCTTAAGGAAGTTATTCAGAAAGGCCATTATAATCTACTGAAAGTCAGACAAACTATGTATTATTTGATGGAGAGAGATTCGTGATAAAACCCATGAATTGTGAACTGTTAAATGAATGGAACATCAATAACAATGCAGTATCAGGCAACATGGTCAGAATTGATGATTCCTTAGGTAGTATGAATATTGGTAGTAGACTCATTGTAATTTAAACACCAACAAATATATGACTCACATTACGATGAGGAAATTCGATCTCATTTCTATTATTTAGAGAAGTCTCCAAACGTCCAGTGCAAAAGTGAGTGAACTGACACTTGTCATTGATTCATTTTTTATCCTATATGTTTAACATTTATCGAGTCTGAACGGTACGCTCTCGCTGTCATAGAATGGCACTGAGATACACTAAATTCCAGTTGTAGCAACACACTGAACACTGAATGGAACCACCATCCTGAACCCTAAACCTCAATTATTTAGATGCTTGGAACACAGGAATTGATAATAACCATGGAAATAACCTGAAATCCACTGATAGTAGGAGTTGTATGATGTGAGTTGATTTAGACACTCGTCATCGGAACATATTTAAACCAAGGAGGACGGAGATATTTACAAAGTCAAACGAAACCAAACTGAAATATACTATTTCGGCATCGAATCAATACAAAACATTGTTCATTTACGTTCTCCTGTCGAAACATTCGTCACAACACAATTTAAATATTGAAGTTGACTTTTCACAATTATCACATTTTGATATATTTAAAGAGAGTTTGTTTTCCTGCCTATATAAATTCAGATTGGAATTGATGAATTTGTGGCACAATATAATTCCTTGAAGTGTGTTGTCCACTGTTCAGTTGAATGTCTTATTCATTTAAATTAATCAGTCAGTGTTTGACCTCCATGTGTGTATGTGTGTGTGTGTGTGTGTGGAATGTGTTCTGTGCATTGAAATGTGGAGGTGATTCTGAATGATTGTCGGGAATCGGTGACCACATCAATTCTATCTACCGAGTGTGATATATTAAAAGCGTGGTTCATATATGTGAATAGTTAATGGAGGATGAATGCACAAGTTGGAGACGACAGGAGATATCAGATGAGAAATCCTTATCACAACTTCAAAATGTAAGGTGTGTTCGAATTAGTCGTGAGATCCTTGTGGCTTCAATCACTCGACTGTTTTCAAGTGTTCAGTTGTCTTTTCATAGTAGGTAAAGGCAGTTTATTTTTTGTGTTTGTTTAAAGGCATGTAGATAATGAGACATCAGACAGGTGAGTTGATTTCATTCTATTATTGCTCGAATTACTTTATTCACGATCGAGTTGGATGTTATAATGACTGTGACTTGTATGTCTTTGTTCAAACTGCATATATATAGGAGCAGAATTATATTATGATTTTTGTGCATTACAGTGTGAAATGATTGACAAAAGTTCTAATTACAATCCATTCGACAACTTCAGATTGTTCAAATAAAGCGTACAGTCGAATCGTGACAATACGATAATCAGAAGTATTGGAATCGGTGTGCTATCTGAAAATTCCCACAATAGTCCAATTCAAGATAGGTAGAAGTCGATGAGCACAACCAAACGTATTATATTTGGAATTCGCAATGAGCACGCTATCAAATACAAAGGAATAATCAGTTAGTAAAAATGCCACAACCACCACAACTTAAATGAATGTTGGGCTTTTGCAATTCCTCGTACGACAGCTTCATTGAATGTATCTCAGATTCTCTTTTGAAGTTATGTTTAATATTGTCTGGATAATGCTCATTAGTGTTAGAATGAACAATGGAAATTGGAATGAACTCTTTTGGTCCTTTTAAAGTATTTGTCTGATGTGACTGTCATGCGTACGAACCATAGAATTATTAATTTTCTTGGATTGTCAAACCTCAGTTTCTTGAATGTATGTGACGTCAGCAGACTGTCCACATTCTATGTTTGGACGAACACATTATGTTTTAGGCAATTTTTTATTATTTCCATGAGTACGGTCTTCATTTCTATACCAATAAATTTATTCTACTCTTCTCTCCGGGCCTTTGAATTTCACAGCAGTAATAGAACTGATTGTTGTTTTCAAGGTGTTGAAACTTCCAACCGGAAAATCAGAATAAGAGAGTGATGGGGTTGTGCACAACTATTCACACTTAGATTGTCCAGCAAACAATTTATCTGGCACTTCATTGGAATTGTCTACATAGGTCAATAACGGAAGTTGTGCTTGATGACATTTTATGTGATCTAATCCGAGGATAGACGGTCCACCATTAGTGATGAGAAACTGACAAGTTATGGTTGAAGACTTATCACCTCTGATCAGCAAATCAAAACATTCAAGAATCCGAATTTTATCACCAATAATACTCGAAATATAAACATCGACAGTTTTAATAAGAGCACTGAAATCTGATGATTTCAATTTTCCGACTGCAATGATAGATTTGATATTACCAGTGTCAACAATGAAATCATGAAAAGCACCATTGCACAAGTAAAGTGGTTTTCGGATGTGAAGTGAACTACTCGGAGTCGTAAACAAGGATAGTATGTGATGATTAGAGTCACCCAAACTGATAGGATCCGAACTACAAAGTTTATTATCACTAGAGGTTAAATGAACAGTTGTTCAACCCACTGACTTGATATACCATAGTTCGCCGTAATTGAAGCATTTACCATGATGAAATAAACATGAATTATGTGAATGACGTTTACCACATTATAAACATTTACCAAAATTGTGCTCACCTTTATATACTGATTTGCAATTCTTCAATGGATTGTTTCGCATGTTTTCACGAGGACGGAGATTATCATTAGTTAAACGTCTCTCCGTATGAAGGTTTAAAGAAAGACACATCACCAAACGATTGTCTTTTATTCAAACTGTTATGCAATTGACTTTTGTCATCTTTAAACGGAAGTTTAAACAACATTCTCTCCTTGAAGATAATCACTCGGTTTGACGCTTACTTTCTTTGGTTTATTGTGTTTTCCAATAAACTTTATGAAATAGTCATTGTCAAGTATGCATCTCTCCATCTACTTCAATGCTATGTGAACACGCTACAGTTATAAAGAGAGTGAATACAGATTGTCTGAAGGAGACTGTTGTCATTCAACTGCATGTGAGCGTTTTGCAAGAGAGAATGGTACAAACAATTTGTGAAATTCACTTGTCTACTATAATCTCACCTGACTGTCTAAAAGTGGTTTATCTTAATTCTCCTATATAGTGTGCATGATAAACAACCTATTCAGAAGTGAGTCAATCGTCTGTAGTCATTTATCATATTGAGTTTTTCGTTGTTTCACAAATTCATTCTTCTAGTTTGTTTCCCATAATTTATCGGTTCGTGTTCAATTTCTATATTTGTCTATATGTCTTATCCACTATTTTATCAATTTGGATCAATTGAATTCTGAGATTACCACCTATTCATAATGATCTCGCTTACTCATATTAAACTTATTCATCTCATCTGCACTGTCCAGTGATAATGGCAACCATCTTGTACAAAAGCGAGTAAATTTCTCCTTGGCTATTTCTAAATTCATCACGAAACATTCTATAAATGCTTTCATTAGTAAATCTAAAACACAGATTCTTAAGGAAGTTATTCAGAAAGGCCATTATAATCTACTGAAAGTCAGACAAACTATGTATTATTTGATGGAGAGAGATTCGTGATAAAACCCATGAATTGTGAACTGTTAAATGAATGGAACATCAATAACAATGCAGTATCAGGCAACATGGTCAGAATTAATGATTCCTTAGGTAGTATGAATATTGGTAGTAGACTCATTGTAATTTAAACACCAACAAATATATGACTCACATTACGATGAGGAAATTCGATCTCATTTCTATTATTTAGAGAAGTCTCCAAACGTCCAGTGCAAAAGTGAGTGAACTGACACTTGTCATTGATTCATTTTTTATCCTATATGTTTAACATTTATCGAGTCTGAACGGTACGCTCTCGCTGTCATAGAATGGCACTGAGATACACTAAATTCCAGTTGTAGCAACACACTGAACACTGAATGGAACCACCATCCTGAACCCTAAACCTCAATTATTTAGATGCTTGGAACACAGGAATTGATAATAACCATGGAAATAACCTGAAATCCACTGATAGTAGGAGTTGTATGATGTGAGTTGATTTAGACACTCGTCATCGGAACATATTTAAACCAAGGAGGACGGAGATATTTACAAAGTCAAACGAAACCAAACTGAAATATACTATTTCGGCATCGAATCAATACAAAACATTGTTCATTTACGTTCTCCTGTCGAAACATTCGTCACAACACAATTTAAATATTGAAGTTGACTTTTCACAATTATCACATTTTGATATATTTAAAGAGAGTTTGTTTTCCTGCCTATATAAATTCAGATTGGAATTGATGAATTTGTGGCACAATATAATTCCTTGAAGTGTGTTGTCCACTGTTCAGTTGAATGTCTTATTCATTTAAATTAATCAGTCAGTGTTTGACCTCCATGTGTGTATGTGTGTGTGTGTGTGTGTGGAATGTGTTCTGTGCATTGAAATGTGGAGGTGATTCTGAATGATTGTCGGGAATCGGTGACCACATCAATTCTATCTACCGAGTGTGATATATTAAAAGCGTGGTTCATATATGTGAATAGTTAATGGAGGATGAATGCACAAGTTGGAGACGACAGGAGATATCAGATGAGAAATCCTTATCACAACTTCAAAATGTAAGGTGTGTTCGAATTAGTCGTGAGATCCTTGTGGCTTCAATCACTCGACTGTTTTCAAGTGTTCAGTTGTCTTTTCATAGTAGGTAAAGGCAGTTTATTTTTTGTGTTTGTTTAAAGGCATGTAGATAATGAGACATCAGACAGGTGAGTTGATTTCATTCTATTATTGCTCGAATTACTTTATTCACGATCGAGTTGGATGTTATAATGACTGTGACTTGTATGTCTTTGTTCAAACTGCATATATATAGGAGCAGAATTATATTATGATTTTTGTGCATTACAGTGTGAAATGATTGACAAAAGTTCTAATTACAATCCATTCGACAACTTCAGATTGTTCAAATAAAGCGTACAGTCGAATCGTGACAATACGATAATCAGAAGTATTGGAATCGGTGTGCTATCTGAAAATTCCCACAATAGTCCAATTCAAGATAGGTAGAAGTCGATGAGCACAACCAAACGTATTATATTTGGAATTCGCAATGAGCACGCTATCAAATACAAAGGAATAATCAGTTAGTAAAAATGCCACAACCACCACAACTTAAATGAATGTTGGGCTTTTGCAATTCCTCGTACGACAGCTTCATTGAATGTATCTCAGATTCTCTTTTGAAGTTATGTTTAATATTGTCTGGATAATGCTCATTAGTGTTAGAATGAACAGCTGAAATGCGATTGGTCTCTCTTTCGTCCTGTTCACTCCTTTCGTTTTTTTCAATTTTCATGTTTAATTTTAGAGTAATTTATTTTTTGCTTTTTGGACTTTTTTCATTTCTTTTTATCTTTTTTTCTCACAATTCTGTTGGTTTTGCGGTAGTTCTTTCTATCTTTTTAACATTTTTCCATATTTTTATTATTTCGCTTTCTTTTTTGATAGCTTTCCTTTTTTCTCATTTTTGAATAAACGTTTTCATGTATTTGAATCACGCAGTCTCGATACATTTTATGGCGTGTTTTCCTTCCTTTATATATAAAATGATTTCTTGTTATCCGGTTTTCTTGAAGTTGTCATACTTTCTTCGAGACACGTTAACTTCGTGTTGAAATGTTACAGTGTATCGTTTTCTACTCAAGAATATATTTCAATATAATAAATATTATCGTTTCTTTAAATTATGGCTGAAAATCTTTTAAAGATGCTAGGGAATAAATGTTTTCTTCTTTTTTATAGAGTTCATTCCATATCAGATATGTAAGTTATTAATGATGCAATCTGCTTTCATACTGCTGAATAATAATTTTATGTAACTAGTAAATAACAAATTAGAAATTGAAAAGTATTGAACATACAGTATGCAGTCATTTCGGATGTTCATTTTAGAATTTAACCCATCATTATCAACACCGTTTATTTCAACAACGAATATTTCATTTCAATTAACGGCAGTAACGAGGTAATCCGCATAAGATGTTTATGCTAATAAGAGATTAATCAATTGCAGTCCTAAACGTCAATGGGAAGATCAAAACAACAACAAGACGAAATCAAATTATTGTTGAGCTAAATGACGCAAACATGTTATTTGTCTATAATTTTCAACCTTTTATTTGTTGATTCCATTTTGTACGGTCAGATATCTAAACATCATTCAAATTATTTACAAAGCAACTAGTCTTTTTGATAAATCTGGATAGTGTAACAAGAAAACGATTATGAGAAACTTGTAATGTAATAATGATGATACAGAATTTCTAGACATCGAAGATGATTTTGATTCTTTTGTAGTTTGTGACATCATAGATTGTATCGTTTCACATTGAATTGAAATAATTATGTGAGTAATATTAATGTAACTAATAGTAGCAAGCTTTTGAACTCAAAAATAATTAAGATCTACCTACAAGTTAACTGCATAGGAATTCGAACAGTTCACTTAATTTGTAAGTTACACTAATTATACTTTCCGGAAAGACAATGAAATATTTTCACTCACAATGCACAATAAAAAAACAAACTCGGAGAATATTTTAAAACTTCAAACCATAATGAATACTAAATTCATTTTGTATTGTTTCTTTGTATCTCCTTATTGATGTTTAGGACTGCAATTAATCAATCTTATATTGGCATATATGCATCCTGTTAGGATTGCTTCGATATTGTGTTAAATCACAAGCAATATAATCAGAGATGATGGTAGCTAGAAGTAGAATCCAGGTCTCGCGTTTCATCCCGATTCTGACTCGTCGGTTGGATGCACGTAATGAAGTTTGAAGCGAATGGAACTGGGTCCAAGTCCTAATATTCAATATGGCTCTTAGAAGTTTTGATTTTTTTTACGGGAATAACACTTTAATTTACATTATTTAGTATTTTTGAAATTTGTTCTTAGTACAGTCTGACATGATCGGATTAACTAAAAAATGTTTATGATTAAGTACTTATAATGCTTATGACTTAAGACAATATCGAGGAAATATGCACAGGGTGTACATATGCCAATAATGGACTGATTGGTTGCAGTCCTAAACATCAATGAGAAGATTCAAACAAACAATACAAAATGAATTTAAACTTCACCCCATTGCACAAACTAGTGATTGTCAGGACTCAGTAGCTAAGTAGATGAGGTGATGGTGACTGGATCGGACGTTACTGGGTTCGAATATCAGAGTAAACAACAACTGTGAGGTGCAGGTACATCCAGCTGACGATTCTCAAGTAGGAAGAAACGCGTGTCTTGGATTCCACTGCTAATCACTATACATATTTGCTCATGATGTATAATGCTATTAAAATGAGAACAAATCATTTACTACACAATTACCGAGTAATTTAGCTTGTAAGCCTAAACAACATTACATATTAATCAGACGGTTCAATATAAAACTACTTTAAATATAAGTATCATGGTAATATAAATTCTTTAGCCTTTATATAAGCTTTATAAAATGTTGACATTAAGATGAATTAATTATTGAAAATTGATCTCCCATTAATTATTTTCTATTATTCCGATTAAAGTTTCTTCTTCAATAAGCCGTGGTAAGTTAAACAATATCTGAATAATTTCTTTTAATATTTATCATTATCAATTTGGTATATTCAATATCAGCTAGGTTTCGATATTTGAACTATAGGTTATATTTAATATTATCATTATTATTATTACATTGAAGAATGTCGATGGGAGTTCTATATTTCTAACGAAACCCTATAGAGTTTCTTGTGAATATTTCTACGTAACTGTACAATTGACTAATAAATTTAATTTTTGACCATTTAGTTTGTTATTTTAATAATAAATAAAATCTGTAAAATTTACTTCTGACTTCTATTATAAACAATTCAACTAATTTCTAATCTGGGAGCACTGGATGGTCGTTCCGTTCTAGTATAGGACTCCTCAGCAGTGCGCATCCACGACCCCGCTCAGCGAGACTGGCTTCAAAATGTATTTCCTGGAGTTCCAGCCAGAAGGCGTGACCAGTGGAGTTCAATCGGGTGTATTGTGAGATAGTAACTCATTGATAACAATGGTGGGCGGTGGCGCAACTTCGTGGATTGGTTGAAGTTAGACATTAACAGCGTTGGTTGCCCGCCGGCCTAGTAGTGTAGACGTTAAGAGCTCGCGTGAGAGACTCATACGTCCTGGGTTCGAATCTCGCGGAGCGGGATCGTGGATACACAATGTTGAGGAGTTCCATAAGAGGATGGAATGGCCGTCCAGTGCTTCCAGATTTTCCATGGTGGTCTAGCTTCAATTGACTCATGAATTCAATTATAGAATTACTAAAATCTCCACAAAACCCCTTCTGATAATAATTTCTAATCCTTGAATATTACATTCGGTACATGGTAAATAATGTATATTTCAAATTTCCATGTCACTTAGGATTCCTTTATGGATTGTAAAGTGAGTCTGTCAGTTTATTTATTTCTAGGAATAATTGATTTATGGAATTAATCTTAATGAACTAGATGATAACTAACTTTTAAACGTGCAAGCTTTTCAATTTCAAACAATAGGTAATTACAGTGGCTAAAATAGAAACTCAATAATAATGTTACATTGACTTGAAATCTGTAGGTTGCCGGATTAGCTTGAATTATTTCATTTATATCTAGATAAATCAAAATTTAGTTGTTTTTTAGGATCTGTTACCTTATCCGTTTATCTATTAATCTGCTATATTGACTTTAATATCTCAAATCTTGTCATGATTTGATTTTTTACTGTATGTAGTTCAATAATTTTACGTCTGAACCTTTATTAGAAAGCGTCAGGAAACATCTGATTTCGGTTTCCGATAGTTTTCAGTTGTTAGCAAGGCATATTTTTTATTCTTGAGCGAACTGGTGTTTCCTGTGGGATTCAGATCAGTTTCATTCAATTTCATGGTCTGAGATATTACCATTTTGTTATCCGTGCCTCAAGTGACCTGTAGGATATCGGGTCATTTAGATTAATGTTGACATTTCAAACTGATCTATAGAATTCGATCAACAATATAGGGCTAAGCAAACATAACATTGGTCAATACTCAGCGGTCTGCAAATGTACGTGTAACACGTTTTTGCTTTTAATGCATGTATACTGATATTTGTATTATCCAATTATTTCAAAATTCTTGTTGAAACATGATAGTCAGTTATCCCCTATTTTTATATGTCAGTTACATCTAAATATAGAACTTTGGTCGCTCGATTTCTCTTTTGTAACTCAATATTTTTTAGTAGATTATCATCTGGAAAAAAATTTGACACAATACTGATCCGTTTCATCCCACGGATTGTGGAATGTCAGCTTCAATTCTTTAAATTCTATTTTAATAATTGACATATAGTTCGATACAAGATTAAAAGTATAACCATAATTTGAGAGAGACTCTAAGATATAAAGAAATGCTAACGTCTAATAGACCTATAGCATCAGTGATCTATAACTATGATTGTTGACCGACCTGATATTTTGATAGAAAGCCATATAGTTACATTTAGAAAGTATTTTACCAACCTATTCATACAATTTCCTTGTATTGTTTCACATTAATACGCACTTGTGAATATAATTAGATAGATTAAATAGATTTAAGGCTTCAAAAGATCTTGAAAATTTTCAAAAATCTAAGTAAGAAATGAAGCAAAGTTGATAACAGTCAAATATATAGATATGAGAAACCCATACGACTATTTTTGTCTCAAATTGGCATTACGGATAAAAAAAGACATCAAATAACTATTAATTTGTATTAGATCACAAACTGCACCATGTACTTTTATTTACATGTGCAGCTGATTTAGCTTCAAGTCCAATCCCCATCTGTGGTTACACATTCTTATAATATGTAAACCTGATATAATTAGTCTATGATAGCTAAAATATGTGGAAATACGCGTTTTTGTTGTAGATAGTATACACTTTTTGCATTGATTTTGAGTTGTCTTCTAAAATGACTGTTTATTACGATTTTTTCATTATTTGTTTTAATCAGCCCCCTATACTACATAGCCGAGTAAGTTTAGTGTTCTATTCTTCAGTCCCATAATTATTTCTTTAACTAAATAAACCAGATGATCATTTCATTCAATCTTTCAATTTAGTTGTTTTACATAGACGTTTCATTGATTCATAAAGTTGATTATATTCTTCTCAGCACTTTTAGCTCGTGATCTACAAGACTAGATTTTTATTATTAATATCACTAATAGGAAAATGAGACACTTTTAAAATAAAAATCTAGATGATCTAGAAGTACTGTCATCTACATTAATTAATTAAGAGATGGAAATCTCAACTCAAGAATATACAGTGGTTGATTAGAAAAATTTCACATTACAAATATACATAGACAAAACAGTGGGTATAATTCATCAATTCTTTTGAGATGATGGAGAAGAGTTTGTAGCTCAGGTGGATGATTTTAATGGAGTTTTGTTCTCTGAGACGGATGATTTGGTCGTGGAGCTTTCATCATTATCCTGAACAACATTATACATCATACATAAATAATTCTATTCATTCACCTAGTTACTTACTTTTGATGATTTGTTAGGCCAGGATATATATTATCTATCTAGACTACAAACTTGAATTGCATTTATCCTCAAAATGTTCTTGTGAAAATTGGGATTAATAAATAGCAACTATCACAAGGAAAAGTATATATATGTATATATGAACACTAAAATCCCATACATAGGTTTCGATTTCAAACCATCTACGTTCTGATCATTCATTTTTATGGAAATGAAATTTCTTAATTCATTTAGTACACCATAAATAATAATTCAAGAATACATAATATCTATTTATAACTTGCGTTTCTACTATAGGAAGTTCGTACAACTTATGGCATGTGAGTTTTGACTTGAATGTTTGTTTACGTAATACTCTGTGATATTTATAAAATGAATACGTTGATAATTGTCTTTAAACTGTCCATTAATCTGCGTTAATTTAGATCTAACAAAAGACTTATATAACATTCAGACTATTAGAATGTCTTTCTGAAAATTAATGAGGAGGCAGCTTGATTTCTGAATATATTCTTCGCCGTAGTAATAAAGATACCTAGAAAAATGCTATGCATATTAAAATAGTTGGTCCACTAATCGTTCATCATGTATTAAGTTCACTGAAAATTAAAATAACAACAGAATAAATTGGAATTTTTTTATTCTACTGATACAAAATCATAATCTCTTAAAAGAATTATTAAGTAGGATCTGAGTCTTATTTTTCATACCGTCAAGGTGTCATTAAAACTACCCATTCATAAGTAGTAATATTTTCTCAAAGAGTAACCAAACATTTATTTCTAGTCATTTCTATAGTTTGATCCGTCTTATATCAAATTATAATATGGAGCATTATTAACCTCACAAAATTTATGTTAATGATAATTCATGTATCTAAGTCAAATTGTTCACTATAAATTCCAGATAGTTTAGATTTATTTATTTACGTCTACGGTTACTCAATGAAATCAACAACCTAGAAAACCAAAATATCAGTAGGGGTTTTGTGGAGATTTTAGAAATTTCAATAGTTGAAATCATGAGTCAATTGAAGCTAGACCACCATGGAAAATCTGGAAGCACTGGAGTTCTAATGAGAAGCCACGACCACTGGAGTTCAACCAGGTCTGTTGTGAGATATCAGCTCACTGAAGACAATGGTGGATGGTGGCACAACTTCATGGATTGATTGAAGTTAGACATCAACACCGTTGGATGCCGGTTCATTGGTCTAGAAGTTAAGCGTTCGCGTGAGAGACTGATAGGTTCTGGGTTCAAATCTCGCGGGGGCGGGATCGTGGATATGCCCTGTTGAGGAATCCCATACTAGGACGAAACGGCCCTTCAGTACTTCCAGGTTTTCCATAGTGGTCTAGCTTCAACTGACTCATGATTTCAACCACTAAAATATCAAATTAAGAATCATACTGATTAATGTTGAATTAAATTTGTTTCAATAAACAGTCATTTGGTATTGTATAGTATTTTGAACTTTTTGGTTACCAGATATATCACACAACATTTAGACATTTGTAAAAATGAGAAATGAAAATCATTCCATTGACCACCTTAATTATTCGGTGTCAGCGAAACTATCAAAATTTAAATCATATGTACTTTATGAATGTTTTATCTGACCCTCGGGTCTTAAACATTAACTTGGGGATAGAGCTGAATTCCAACATCTTTCATAAGTGATAAAATTCATGTATGAAGGATTGCTTTTCATCACAGTTTGATTTATACAAACAATGTTATAATTACTTAGTTTGTGAACAAATTAGATTCATGTTTGAATATCATAAGTGAAAAAAGCAACCATAAGTTACGTGTAGACTGTTGTAGTCAATATGTAAACACAATACCTAAAACTGGACGATTACTTAAAAAAGAACATAAATCTCAACTAATTGATCATCTTAGAGATCAAAATTTAGAGCTGTGTCTCCCAGACAAAGGTGATAGAATTGTTCTTATAGATTGTCATGACTATGTTATCAAATTATCCACAAAATTATCAGATTCTGACAAATTCTCTAAAGAAACCATGTATAAATGTGCAACTGAGAAGACGGAACAAATTTTAACCAAGGAAGATGAAGGATGAATCTGTTACCAGTTATGACATCTGTGAACATCTCAGACCATTGGGTTTCACTATATCGAAACTATACAGACTCCCAATAGTTCATGAGAAGAACGTTCCCCTACGTCCTATACTTGATATGAATAGCTCTTCGTATCATTTGATCGCTAAATGGTTAGTTGAAATTTTAAAGCCAGTTAGAAATCACCTTAATAGGTGCAACTTTCTTGATTCATTTGACTTTGTTGACTCAGTTAGAAATATCAATGTAAATGGTTAAAAAATGATCTCATTGGATGTCAATCCTCTCTTTACAAATGTTCGACACACAAAAACTATGTGTTTTTTATGTAACTATATTGAACATAACAAATTTAATATTTATATCCCGAAGCATTATCTAAAAGAGCTATTTCTACGATGTACTCCGAATGTTTAACTCAGATTTAATAACGATTCCTATTGACAAACTGACTGAGTTGAAATGGGTTCACTACCGCCACCCTTGATCGATTGTTTCATGGCCAATCTAGAAAATACGGTGTTTTGACAAATAATTAAAAGATTTCATCTATATAAGAGATATGTGGATGACACTTTCACTATTTGTGAATAAGGTAAGGACCTCACCAGTGCATATCCACGATCCCTTCTCGCGAGATTCGAACCCAAGATCTATGAGTCTCGCACGCGAACGCTTAACTTCTAGACCACTGAGACCACTGATGTCTGACTTCAACCAATCCACGAAGTTTCACCACCGTCCACCATTGTCATCAGTGAGTTACTATCTTACAACAGACCTGGTTGAACTCCACTTGTCACTGCTTATTACTAGATATCCTGAAATAGTGGATTCACACTACTGAGGAGTCCCTGACTAAAGAGGAAACGGTCGTTCAGTGCTTTCAAGTTTTCGATGATAGTCTAGCTTCAATTAACTCATGAATTCAACTATTAAATTACTATAATATCCACAAAAACCCTTCTCTGATGATATTAATTAAGAATTGAATTAATCTTTTCTAAGTAAAAAAAATTTTTCCTTAAAAGCAATCAAAACAAATTTAACTTAATTATTTTTTGTTTTATATTTTAACAGTTTTACTAGAAGACGATAATATTAGAGAACTCCAAATGCCAGCATACTATTACGATACATCAATATGAGAGTGAATTTATTGCAGTATAGTTAATTCAACACGTAACTAAAAACTTAAATAATTGGTATAACATAATTTTAGTTTTAACCTTTGCATAAAATTATAAATAAAAAAAACAACTTAACATACAAAATATTGTATTCTGTATTTTCGATAATAATAAATTATCAGAAGGGGTTTTGTGGAGATTTTAGAAATTTCACAGGTTGAAATCATGGGTCAATTGAAGTTAGACCACCATGGAAAACCTGGAAGCACTGGACGGCCGTTTCGTCCTATTGTGCGCATCCACGATCTCAGTGGTCTAATGGTTAAGCGCTCGCGCGCGAGAATGATAGGTCCTGGGCGAGATCGTGGATACACACTGCTCAGGAGTCCTACAATACAACGAAATGACCGTTCAGTGCTTCTAGATTTAACAAGTGACTCATGATCTCAACTACTGAAATTACTATAATATTCACAAAACACCTTCTGGATACTATTCTATTTTAGTTTGATTATGAGTATCTTTCTGAATAAAATGAGAGTTCTATTAACTATCAATGTTTATATATCATACATTTTTAGATAACTAATTCCAAATTAAATGAATGCATATTTCAGCTTGAGGTTTTCTAATGTTACTATTTCATTAGAATGATGTGTAGAATGCTAAAAGATTATAAACATCATTTAGACTTAAATTCTTGAAGATACATTTCAGTCTTATCTAGAATCTTTATTATCATGTTCTGGTAATCTCACGATATTGATGATGAAATCAAGAGATTAGCTACCGCTCACTAAAGATCGCAACTGTTCCAGTACTAAAAGGATCTTAAAGTAAAATAGGATTGATATGGAGGGCAAGTCAGAAGTAACCTATTGAAAAGGTCAGTCGATGGAAGTCAGAAGTGACCCAAAAGTCAAGTATATTTCATTGTGGTCAGTAAGTTAATTTCCTAAGGATAGAGTGTTATATATATGAATAAGTATCTGTACCTTCCATTTAATAGCCCAGTACACTTTCTCTCTCACTCTTGTGTTCTCGCTCAAGTAGTCAGTTGGTTGGTTACGGGGTTAGCGCAAAGCATAGTTTGTGTAGTATCACATTTTCAAACAACGCATACCATAACAGGAATCAATCCTCAAAGATATAATAACCAATAAATTAATAATAATACAATTGATTCCCTTTACAAACATAAACAAAGGAATAACAACAATATTTACAGGATACGATTTATTTTATTAATTATTTTTACTTTATTGTAATTAATAATTGTATTCTATATTATAAAGAATTCTAATTATATGTACCATCATTACGAATGAGATGTTTTCTCTAGACTTGAACACTTTTTAAACCACTAACTTGGGTGTATAACTACAAACATTAATGAGGATTTATTGATAAAACATACACTTTGTTTATATGACTGTTGTTCTGGTGTGATGCCAAAAATCCATTAAGGTTGAATATTATTTCAAAACGTTCCACGAAGTTTTCGTTGTTGTAAAAGTCATCAAAATAAATTAGAGTAAAAGCATATTGTACGAGAGAGCTGATTAAAATCAATAAAATGAGTGTTAGGTTTTTTGAACTAAATTCGAAAATAAATGATTCTTATCTCATTTCACGTAGGACGAGAAGTACAAATTCCCTTGTACAATACTTAAACTGTTAAAAATCAAAACGAAAAACTAAATTTTCTGATATCATATGAACGTTTCAAATGCTCAGTTCTTAATGTGTAGCGTGCATATAACTTGCAGATAGACCTTGCTCCTAAAGCCATAAACCCTTAAACGTGACCTAAACATTAAGTCTCTAAACCTGATTGACCAAAACGTCGATGAGTTTATTTCAGTTTGTCTATATACTATACTCCTATATCAATTAGTTTGAATTAAAATTCTGCATAAATAATTGTTCATATTAAACACATTATCAAAATCCATAAAATGTTATGTAAACAAATCTAATCTAAACGTCTCATATGCACAACCATAATAAGATGATTACATTCAATGGAAATAAAAAGTCACTTAGTCGAACAAATACAGTATATCAATCCATTGAAAACCTTAACTACACCACTGACGGACTGTAAAAGAATAGTGAAATTCTCGTAATAAATCTATTATTTAAAAGAATAAAACAGTTCAAACTTATTGCATTCTCAATTGTGGGGTGTAATTCCGTTCAATTAAATGAGGTACACTTGTATGTTATGCAACCCACAAAGTGTAACCATACAAACATTTGTCAAGGGATTGTATATACTTTAGAATGAATCATAAATGACTGATAGTTTATGAAATATCGCGCGGTCATAATAAGAAAATAAAATTTCGATTGTATTTCAGTCCCAAGATAACTTCGAAACTGTGATTTCAGAAAAGTTAGATTGTACTGAATTTAACATACACAAATGAATAGAAGTACTTGAAACAGATACAAACAATGGACACAAGAATTATTTACTATAGAATATACTAGCAAGATGAAGTATGGTGTTATAAAATATTATCAATTTCTTCATTTATACCTTATTCAGTTATGTTTATGTGTTAAATAATGTGAACGTTTATAGTCTGAATATAAGAATATTCAAGAATAAAAGCTAAGAACATAGAAGCAAATTTATTTAGTGTTATAAATTGTGCCCCACTAATATATGATTCCATGATACCGCCAATAAGAGAACAGTGGCTTATCGACCAGACCGATGATGCATAAAACCCGTACTAGATGTCTACAGTCCTTATCAGTCCTTCTTCCGGTTTATCCTTGCCTGTTGAGTTCAGAACACTGATCTCATGTATTTCAAACATACTGGATTTATATACAAACAAAACAGATCACATCGCACCATAAAATAGAAAATAACATTTGTACAATATCTAGCCAAAAGTGGCTGTGATTGTGGGAGACTGTAATTAATAGATTAAGTAGAACTCAAGAACGGTAAATGGTATAACAATAGTCTATGGGTTACAATAAAGCTTATAATGAAAGAAACATGAATATACATAGTTTAGCTACGTAACAATTATACAGCAAAAATATTTGCGTATCGTATTGGTCCATAAATATTTCTCAAAAGTTACCATTCATAATTCTCGTCGGAATATAACATTTAGAAAAGAAATATTCATGTTCTTGATACATAATCCTGAGAAACAAAATTAACTAAGTACAAATCAGATAAGAGGTAAAGATTAACAAATAGTGTCATGTAAAGAATTGTGTAACAAACATTGACGAATATGATGTCACCACGGCAAAGCAAGACTGACAACTGAATTCTTTTGGATATATAAATTTAGTTGATGACTGATGACGAACCACGAAATATAATAAATTCGTATCATTCGATTATGTTCATTGTACTTTCATTATTCCGAGTAAAACAGACAAGAAACCTACATCTGATTGAAAATGATACCATTATTATTGCTATTATTGTAGATTCAGTTGAGTAACGAACTTGGAATTTATTAAATTTCATCTAAAAAACAAATAGTTCTTAATAAACAAAAACTTAAAATCTGACTTGCCAAAATTTTACTTAAATTTACATATATGCAAAGTATGATAACTAAATAGGTTACTTTGATAATTGAATGATATTTTTGATTCATTGACTTATATCATAAATTCTTGTGAGACCCTTTATTTTATCGTCCTTTAGATCGGACGATGTAGTTGACGGGCTCACTACTTCAGTGACTCGGGATTTGATTCCAATTACATCGTATGAATGTTCGTTATTGAATGATTGCTGTCGAAATATATATGTCGCCTATCCTCGTATATTTCATCGAATTAAATCGCGTTAGTCAATAACGGAATTAAATAGTCAAATACGAGAATGAATTTCGAATATGTATATTTCATACAATCGTTGATCCAGACAAAATATAGAGGAAGCAAAGAGAAGAGAGTGAAGCGAAATAACGCGCGGTGGATAAGGTGTGTGAGTGTGGTGTTTGAATGAACTATTGATTCCTTTGTACTTGTTGAATGCTTGATTTCGAATTCCAAATACAGTACATTCATTTGTGGTTATCTAGTACTTGTTGATCCGATTACATCATTTCTCGGATTCTTAATTCATACTATAATTCAAATACTCCTGAATATTACTTTGGCGTCGCGATGGAGCCTGTGATGGAATTGTTGAATATACATTCAGATCTTGATGCTTTTGAGGATTACTTTGAAAGGTTCGAACTCTCGACTATGAACAAGGAAGATGATGAAGATGTTAATATTGTAGCACATTTCCTCATATCCATTGAAAATAAGCATATAGCTTATTAAAAACTCTGGGTTTACCGGAAAAGCCCATTTCGCTTTTTTATACAGCTCTCAAGGATCTACTGCTAGACTATGTTAAGTAAATAAATTTCGAATGTGGTAAAGGAGGAAGATTTCGTAAAATGATTCATGTGGATATAAAAAATTACACTGCATTACATCATCACAACCCAGTTCATACTCAAGGCTATGCAGATAATTCATTGAGGAGTTGCGATGCAGTTCACATAGATAGGCACAAGTCTGGTCAATGTTTGTCCTGTAGCAGGTTCCACTCTTTTAATTCATGTAAATCTCGTAATTCTAAGTGCATTAAATGTGGTGTATTGGACATATTCAGCCAGTTTTTAATACTACTGTTCATCTTGCTGCAACGAATATTAAGTCTTGTAATTCTGATTCTATTAAGTTGAGTATTTATAATGATCATTTATCTTTACCAACGATTTCAAAAGACAATGTAGAGTCATATAGCAGTTCAGAGTTAAATGAAACTCAGAATTCTTGCGAGACAACAGTTTCTAATCAATCGACTTATCAGATTTCTCATGTTATTGTACCAGATATGGTTTCTTCTAATGATTCACTTATTTCTGACGAAATTCATTGCAATTCTGAAGAAAATATGTTGAATGAACCTACTCATGATCGAAAACCTGATACAGCCTTGATATATGCTAATTTTTCGAATAACCCTTTACTCTTCAATGACATTAATAATAAATTCGAGGAAACTATTTCAGAAGAGTCAAAGCTTGATGTCATACCAAATTTTATTTGGTATTTGTCCTCATA